AACACTGGCCCTGGTTGCCCAGGGAGGTGGTGGAGGCCCCATCCCTGGACACGTTCAAGGTCAGCTGTGACGGGGCTCTGAGCAACCTGACCGTGTTGAAGATGCCCCTGCACATTGTGGGGGGGTTGGACTGGGTGACCTTCAGAGCTCCCTTCCAACCCAAGCTAGTCCGTGACTCTCAGTGATACTGCGCCCCAGCGGACTGCTGCTGTGTGCCCCGAACAGCGCTCATGCACAGGGATAAAACCACTTTCCTGTCTGCTCACACCCGTTCACACACACGCGGCGAGCGTACAGAAACAGATGCTGAAACAGTGCCTGTCTCCGCTCCCACGCACAGCGGGACGTGAATCCCCACCCGCGAGATGCATCCACACAGGCAAACCCCTCTGAGCGTGCCCCAGAGTACACCAAGCTTCACAATCCTGCGGGGGCCCACGGAGGCAGAGGCACACACAGATATTTGCACAGCCCCAGCCCGAGCATCACTGCTCCCCATGCCAGCAGCCCAGCAATTCAGATTCCTGTCCCCTGCCTCCCCTTTGCTGCTTTGCATCCACTGCACATTGGGCTCCAGTGCTCCAGCGCACGCACACGGCCGTTCTGCTTTACCAGCTGCCACCGCATCAGTGCCAAGCGCCCTGCGGTCGTCCCGATCTTTGCCGGTCCCTCTTTAGAAGCAAAGGGGAGTATGCAGTGGATTACAAGGATTCGGGATGTTTGCAGCAGTAATATTATTTCCCCTCGGAGAGCGATATCCTTGTTTTCTTCTGCAAAATGTGCCGACTTAGTGTCGGAGCAGAGCACGAACCAGAGCTGTCCCAGAAAAGGACCAGGTGGGCTTTCCCACCATTGGGTCGGATTTTGTGACATAAATGTCCAGGCATCTCTTATAGAGAAAGTTCGAGTGACGTGGTAAAAACACGCATCCTCCTCGCTAGCCTGAGCTCATCCTGGAATAATGCCCATTTCTATCGATACGGCATAAAAATGAACTTCAATCCTGAACTGGGTTTTGATGGAGAAAAAAATTCATTTTCCCCCTCTTACTTCTGTGGGAGAGGGATAGAGACAGAAATACTTTTTCTTCTGCCTCTATCGTGTCTCTGGATACCTATATCCGGGGAGGCCCACAGGAGCCCTGCATATCTCAGTTATTGCCTACACTGCATAGGCAGACAATAAAAATCCAAATGCGCTGTTGGTTTGGGTTGGGTTTGGGCTTTTTTCCCCCTAGAAATGTGTTTGGAAGCTTCTGTGAAGTTTCCAAGCTGTGATGTGGGTAAATGGTATCAAGTCCACGCCTGGACGTGCTTTCAAAGGGCTGATAGGAACAAACCCTGCCTCTGGATGAGCAAGAATTCAAGGGTCAGGTATTCTCCCGCTCATGTCCCGACACAGGCAATTTCACAGGCACACCTGGTGACAGCACGCCCGAAAACCTTCATTTCCCCTCTTCACTTGTTCCTTATTGAATTCTCTGAACAGCGCCACGATGTTACCTACCCTGATGATTTCTCCGCAGCTTCCAATGGCTTTTCAACAAAGGAAAAGCTTGTGCGAGGCACTTGGATTGGTTTTACCCGCCAGCCTCTCCGCCTACCATCCTGGTCCCTCACCAGAGGTGACTCTGCCTCTGTCATGCTGTGACAGACGCACAAACACCTCACCTCTCCTGAGAGTGGATGGAGACATATCCTGAAGCCTCTTCTTTCGAAAGGAAGCTTTACCTGGTATCTCAGCAAGAGCCAGCATCAAGGCTGAAGATGACGTTGCTGATTCATCCTCTTGAGGGCAGGTGTTGGGAGGTTTCCGTCCCCAGAGCCCTGGGCACCGGGACGCAGAGGCTCCAAGGCATGATACGGCAACCATTCCCTGCAGGTTTGAGTGGAATTGCTCAGGGAAGAGAAAACAAATATCCTGAAAGGAGCAGGAAGGGCTGGACCTGACCTGACCATGAGCCAGCAGGGTGTCCTTGTTGCCAAGAAGGCCAATGGCATCCTGGGATGCGTTAAGAGGAGCGTGGCCAGCAGGGCGAGGGAAGTTCTCTTCCCCCTCTGCTCTGCCCTGGGGAGACCCCACCTGGAGTACTGTGTCCCGTTCTGGGGCCCCCAACAGATGAAAGGCATGAGCCTGTCCAGAGGAGGCCATGATGATGACCAGAGGGCTGGATCAGCTCTGCTGTGAAGAGCAGCTGAGTGCAATGTGGTTGTTCAGCCTGGAGAAAAGGCTCCGGGAAGACCTTAGAGCAGCCTCCCAGTACCTGAAGGGGTCCTGCAGGAAGGCTGGGGAGGGACTTTTTACAGGGGCGTGTAGTGATAGGATGAGGGGGCTTTAATCTGAAAGAGGGTAGGTTTAGATTAGGTATAAGGAAGAAATTCTTTGTTATTAGGGTGTTGAGGCACTGGAACAGGATGCCCAGAGAAGTTGTTGATGCCCCCTCCCTGGGGGGGGGGGAGGGTCCAGGTTCAAGGCCAGGTTAGATGAGGCTTTGAGCAACCTGATCTAGCGGAAGGTATCCTTGTCCATGGCAGGGGGTTGGAACTAGGTGGTCTTTAAGGTCCCTTCCAATGTAAACCACTCTGTGATTCTATGAATTTATGATTCTATGAAAAGTCTGCTGAAGAAAGAAAGGAATCGACCTGGAGCGGGGAACACCCGGATGACACTGGGTTGTGCAGAGAAGGGGGTGATAATCCAGTACAGAAGGATTATTTCAGAGGGGTTAGGGAAGAGTAGGTACCATCAGTTTGGGATGAGAAAGCAGTCATGGTAATCTCAGAAGTTGAGCCATGAGCCCACAGTCTAGGAACGGGAGGTCCCTGCTCTGAAGGTCATCGTTCCAAGACCTAGCTGTGGTTCTGCACCCCGCCCCCCTTGTCATCGTCCCCCCCCACAGCCCCCCTCCCGAGCCACTCTGATATCTCAGGATAAGCCCTATTGTGCTGTTATCTTGGTCACAGGACATGTTTAGAAAAATGCCTTGTAATATCCGGAGCTGCTTGATCCACAAAAGTAGAGACCATTACAGGTAGATTAGGTTCTGACACTCCCCTATTTTTGACCAGTTTTCAGATTTTTGTCCTGCCAAAGGTATAGCCTCTTCTCAGACTTGTCTTGCTAATCGCAGCTGTCTGCAGTCTACATCAACATTATGATTCCACCTGGGATCTGCAGTTGGCCAGGCTGCCTGGGCAGCTGCATCCCCCCCTTGTTCTGCCCAGTGATGGTTCGCATCAAGAATTACATGCTTTTCATCTAGGGTGACGAGGGCTTCAAGGATCATCTGCACGTCTCCCCAGGAAGTGTCATATGACTGTCCTATCCCCTTCACAACGTGTAACGCTTTCTCTGGGTCCTCTCTAAGTATGGGAGTCTGTTGACTCCAAGCAATCAAATCCTGAGGAGACCAGGGTGGGTATACCCATGTATTGGCTACCTGGGGCAGCCCACCAAGCATCGCTGTTCCCATTACTGACACCACCTGAAGGGGGCCTGAAAATAGGAGTAGATGAGAGCAGGGGGCATAGAGAAGCCAAAGCAGAGAGCGGAGCATAGGGTGGAGCCAATTCCACAAGCATTTTAGCAGGTGATACACTCACGGTATTTCTAAAGGACCTTTTCCCACTGTTTCTAGGCTTTTCTTTTCGCCTA